TTTATGGGTTCTGTAATTTAATTTTATGATGAAGGTATGTAATTCTTGTTTTTTAACCTAAATCCTATTTGGTGTAATTCTTTTTTTTTTTTTTTTAATATATATATATATATATATCTCTCTGGAATAACTTCTCTCTCTCTCTCTATGTGAAATAGCTACTGCTATTTCTTGTGCTACAATTGGCATAAGAAATAGCAAAGTAAAAAGTAATAAGTGATATAGCATTGCATTGGAGAGCCTGATTTTAAGCCTATCTGCTATATTTTGAATTGGCAGCCCATATAAGCCTTATTGGAGATGCTCTAATGCATGCAGATGAGAGAATCAATTGTGCTTGTCCAACATCAAAAAGTAAGGGAAGTTTGTACGGTTAAGCTATAGAAGCCAAGTAGCCGACCAATGCAAATGCCATTTTTGTGTGGGATGGGTCAACGGCCCAGAAGCCCAAAATAAATTAATCTGGCCCAGTTGGCTTTTTGCAAAGCAAATTCGTATTGGATACGAACCCGTCAATTATTTTCTATTTTCACATGTTATATATATAATATAAATTTTTATAAATTTAATTATTTCAATTATATTCTATTTTCACATGTTATATATATATCATATAAATTTTAATAAATTTAATTAATAATTCATTAATTTATTAAAAATATAATTAGAATTACACTTACAAATAAATTATTATTTGTGTTAAATAATTTTTAAAAAAGTAAAAAGTTAGTAGTAAAACTATAGCGACAATATTGCAGAACTGGGATGAAGCTGCTACCATATCGTCCACCACAACTTGGAATTGTCAATTGTGCCTATAAGTGGAAAGGCCATTTTACGATGGTTCCAAACGTTGTGGTCGCTACTGCCGATAAAAGATTTGTTTACATCAACTCTATATATATGTGCCAAAAACGTTTTTCAAAACCCAAGAAAGAGGATACCATACCATCCCAATTTGAACAAAATTACAAAAGTCACAATTAACCTTATTCATATGAACAAACAGGAAAATACAAGCATGAATACATCCAAATTTTTTATTTTTATTTTTATATTTATATATATAAAAAAATACATCCAAATTTTTTAGTGAACAAGTATTAAAGACTTTTCATTTTAAATTAAGATAATTTAATTCAAGTAAAAAGATGTAACAATATGCGCTTTGATTATTGCTCGTACAATCCAAATTGCTTAACTACCTAGCAAGAACAAACGAGTGTGTGCGTATATATAAGTATATATATATAGTAAAGAGTATTCATATAACAATTTATTGTAAACAATTGAGAAGTCCAATTTATCCCTATTCAAGTTATAAAATGCTTATATGAATATTTTTAGTTATAGTATTATAAAAAACAAAAGCAAAAATTGAAAATTAAGTTCTAGCCCTGACGTTGCCATACTATGGTCCTCTGAATTCAATATTACATTTAAATTATATTTTGAAACACTAAATTTAATATTGTGAAATACTTATTATCATCATCGATCTTTGTATTAATCACATATAAATAGAGGCAGCAAGGATAATTTGTCAGACTAGTTATATTCAAAAAAAACATAAGAATAATACATCTATAATGGAAATGAGAATGCTACATTAAAGAGTGGAAATAAATAATAATAATAATAACTGTGTGAGGGACATTAGATAAGTGCTTATCATAATAATTTTTTAGTGAACAAGTATTAAAGACTGCTCAGTCTCAATGTCCTCCGCACTCTTTATCCATCACATAATAAGATTTCAATACTTGAAGGCATATAATATATTATCATCATTGTCATCCAGAGCCTTGTCGTTCACCTTGTCCTTCTATTTGATTCCTTAAGGCCGCGTTTGGTAAAATGGAAAAGAAAAAAAAAAAAAAATTTGATGACATTAGTTAGGAGATAAAGAAAAAAATGTGAGATGAAAGTGTATCACTTATCCTGCTTAGTCAAAATGACGATAATCATTTTTGGGGAAATAAAGAAAAGAAAAATATTTTAATAAATTAACATCACCGTATATCACCATCATTGTCATCCTTTACCTTGTGCTTCCATTTGATTCCTTAAGGCCGCTTTTGGTACAGTGGAAAAGAAAAAAAAAAATGATAACATTAGTTAAGAGCTAAGGAAATAAAAAATGAGATGAAAGTGTAAACCACTTATTATGTTTAGTCAAAATGAAGATAATCATTTTTGGGGAAAGAAAAGGAAGGAAAATATTTTAATGAATTAATCATCATACCTTTTTATTTATTTATTTATTTTTTATTTTTACCTATTATAAAAATAAGAACAAATTTAGTCTTTCCTTCACTTTCCTTTCATTTCTTCTCATATTATTTTATTTTATTATTATTATTTTTTTAAGGATAACAAAACTAACTCATTAGTTTTAATATTTCCCTCCAAATTCTTCTCCTTTTTTTATCCTTCCAGAGTTTTGTACCAAACACAAATAATCATATCTCTCCATTTTCTGTCTTTTCTTTTACTTCCATTTCTTTGCCGGTTTGGTTTAATTTTTTAAAAGAATTTAATTTTAATTTCCTTAAAAATTGAAAACTTTTACAAAACATTTGTTTACTTAATAGTTTAAATTCCTTCCATTAATATGCATTTAACAAAGCCATTAAGTGGAAGGAATTTTAGAATTAGAAAGCTCCCTTAAACTGAACTTATTAATATATTTTTAGATAACGTCTTTTATATTTATCTAAAAAAAATTATATTTTAAAGAATTGTTTTTTAAAAAATTGAAGCAAATAGGTCCTTAAGTTCTTATTTTTATGGCTTTTGCTCCTTTTAGAATTTAGGAAAATATAACCCTAAAAGAAAAAAGAAGAAGAAAAAGAATTTAGGCCCTTAAGTTCTTATATATATATATTATGTTTAAGGATATTTGAAACTTTAATTTAGAATGAACAATATTATCATGAGAGTCCTCTCATGTGAGCTCTCCTTATTAACTAATGAATTAAATAAATTATTAAATGATTGATTTAAATTTTTGTTAATTTTAAAAAATAATAATAATAAAAGTCTTAATTCAAAACTTGGATCCCTCCTATTGAGGAAGTCCTATGGTCTTGTCTTGTATTTCAAAACTACAGCTTGAAGCACAACATCTCCACCCTATAACAATGACTATCCCCGTGCCCTCTCAATCTTCACCAACTATCATATTTATAACCGCATATATCTTGATAAGACTATACATTTAGTGACAAATTTTTTTTCCTTTCGTTAATTTATTTTGAGTACGATTAATATTCTAAAACAAAACAAATTATTTAAAAGAATGAACAAATATTATCTTAATTAATTTTAAGTTACACACAATGCCTCCAAACTTTAAAAATGAAGTATCCATTCATGTTGTGAAGACAAAATTAAATATTGCTATGAAGACAAATAGTGACAGAAACGGACCCCACATTTTGGACAACCATTGTGTACTGGAAATACTGTTCCAGGGCATGGCGTTAAGATGTGATCCCATGTGTTAAGATATGGGGTCCCTCATTTATCTCAATCACTCCAACATACAACACGTAAAAAAAAAAAAAATAAATAAATAAATAAAAATTATTACTATAAATTGGACAGATCGTGACAAATAATAGCAAAATTAAATTTTTAAGAACAAGCATGACAAATAGTAACAAAGCCAAATCCTTGAAGAAGAAAGAACATGCCCAAATCATGAGACTTAGTCCAACAAAAATACAACTTGGTTAAACATATCACTAATATGCTAAAAGCGATAACGTACCATGCTAAGCATCACATGCTTTGAAAGTGGTGTGTTGTATTTATTTGAGATATTTTTTCAAAACGGGATGAATCCTTCATTTTCCTCTTTGAACAAAAACAAAATTAGAGATGCCACTTGTTTAAAAAAAATTAAAAAAAATTAAAATTGGATGTACAACTCCTACATCAAACTTCTGTTGAATTTATTTTGCATTGCTGGTTGTACGGTGGAACTTAGAGAACTTTTTTTTAAAAAAAAGATTAACTACGAATGAAAAAAACTTAACACGTATTATACTCGTGAACTCATTTAAACCCAATGATTCTTTTAGATTTTTAATATTTCAAATCGGTTTCTTTTAATTTAGAATCAAGAAGTAATTGATGTTTAGGTTGAATACTGTTGAACTTAAGAATCTCATGTAAGTTGTGATTGCAGAGGCCGCACTGGTTGCAGTTGCGGTTGCGGTGTAACGGAATCGGACCTATATCAGCGTTATGTAACAGAATCGATTATCACAATTATGATTTGTTTTTTCTTAAATTCGCACACTGTAACCAAAATGTACTGATATGCTAATCCTTACAACATAATTCAATAGAAATGGATTTTTAATAAATTTCGTTGAATTTTATTGATTTTTTTAAAAATCATTTAGCAAACGTAACGATTTATTAATGAATTTTAAGTTGCTACCATTATTAATTTGATCTACCATTTTTAAATCATCATCTACTCGCGGTGGATCATAGTCTCTTTATAGAGGACCATTAACTGTTTAAATATAATTTTTTAATGAATTATTGAAGATTATTTTAATAAAAAAATCCTATTCCGCCCAATTTGAACGATGAAAATTAGGAATAAGGAGAGGAGGGGATAGATAAATGAGGTATATTAGGAAAGAGTTGGTGAATAGAGGATAAAAGGAGTAATAGAAATTATATACAATGTGACTGGCTGGAAAGAAGAGACGGAAAGTTTTTATAATTTTGTAGATAAATGAAGATTAAAATTGACATTTTATATTTATAAACTTGTTTATTTTTTCTCTTCCGCCCAATTTGAACGATGAAAAAACGTGGGTGATGAAAGATGCTTCAAAATTTCCCTATTTATACCGTGCAATAGCACCTTCACAATGCATACCAACACTACTTGTTCCTAGCTCTCCACCAGCCACAGCCACAGCCACAGCCACCACATTAAACCTATATATCATCTATATATATATATATATATCATGGCCAGTGGAGGAGCAACATGGGAAGAACTACTCGGAAGCAACGAATGGAAAGGTTTGATTGACCCCCTTGACCTCAACCTGAGGAAACTCATCCTCCAGTGCGGTGATATGTGCGACGCCACTTACGACGCCTTCATCGGCGATTCAAATTCCAAATATTGTGGCGCGGGCCGCTATGGCATGAAGTCATTCTTCAAAAACGTATTCCTAGCAGATTGTGCATCAAAATACCAGGTGGTGTCCTTCATCTATTCCACTCCAATCGATGTTCCTACCAATGACTCCAGCTTCACTGTGGGCTCTACGTTGTTCTACCAGACCAATTGGATGGGCTACATTGCTGTCTCCAACGATGAAGTCAGTAAGGCCAATGGGAGGCGTGAAATTTATGTGGTGTGGCGTGGAACCATCCTACTTACTGAACTCATTGACGATCTCAACGCCAATCTCGTGTCCGCCTTACCATTCATGGGGTCTCAGCCTGTAAATCTGATTCCGGGGAGTGATGCTGCTGGGGGTGCCAAGGTCATGGAGGGTTGGCTCTCAATTTACACTGCCGACAACCCGAAGTCTCAATTCACCAAGCACAGCGCGCAAACTCAAATTCTAACAAAGATCAAAGAACTGGCGGAGCAGTACAAGGGTGAAAATTTAAGCTTGATATTCACAGGACATAGCCTTGGTGGGGTACTTGCAGCTCTAAGCGCTTACAATGTGGCGGACACTAGTGCAGTTCCAAGTAATGTCCCGGTATCGGCTTTCGTGTTCTGTTGCCCAACCCTGGGTAACCAAGTGCTGTGTGACAAGATTAAGGCGCGAAAAAACCTGAGAATCTTACATATGAAGAACGTGAAAGACTTCCTTGCAACCTACCCCAAAAGCGTATTCCCGTGGGGGGATTACGCACATCCAGGAATTGAGCTTGAGGTTGATACTTCCAAGTCTCCACACTTGAACCCTTCACAGAATCTAATTTCCAAGGACAACAGGCTTAACTGGCATAACTTGCAAGGCCTGTTACATGTAATTGCAGGTTGGAATGGGAGCAATGGGGAGTTTAAGCTGAACGTGAAGAGGAGTTTGGCTCTTGTGAACAAGTCCAGTGGTTTTCTCAAGGATGAATATCGTATTCCAAAGTCATGGTCGGTTGAAAGGAATATGAGGATGGCCATTGATCAAAATGGAGAGTGGGTTGAGAAGGAGCCACTCCAGGAGGAGGAACAGGCCACTAATTAATTACAAACCTTGCGGCAAGGCCATCTGCATGTGTGTTAATTTGCGTGTTTATGCATGTGTGTGTTTGCGTACTTGTTGTTTATGCATGTGTGTGTCTGTGTGTGTCTGTTGCAAGAATAAGTGGATGTTAAAAGTAAAACACTCAAAGTGGGTACGAGACTCGGTATTAATATAAAATAAGTGAGTGAAATTTAATAATACGCAGTAACTTCGTTTATTTTGTCCACTGTGCTTATTTATTTGTTTGTTTATTTATTTTTCAAGGTTAAACAAGTTTATACCATGTATACATAATCCTTTTTCTTTTATTTCTCTTTTTCATCCCTTCCTAAACCCAAGCCCTTCCCTTTCTCCACTCTTCTTCTTCTTCTCACCTCCATGGGACATCATCAATCAATGAGCGAACATGTCTGATTCGTGTTTGGGTTATTTTTCTTTTTCCTCTCGCGCCCTATTGAACATCATCACTCAACAGACAAGCAAAAATTGTGGGTTCAATTATTAAGTCTTGTATGTGAAACTAGAGTTACATAGGGTGCGAAAACTTTTAGTTGATTTCAGTTGTGATTAACTCCATTAATGATCTAGATCTGCTTATTAGGTCAACTTGCTCAATTTATGATTGATTAAACTGTATGATCAATTAAACATTCACAATCATAAATATAAATATTTAAAAGTAAAATAAGTTAAGTTTAGAGAGATTGCACTAGGATTTTTAGCAAGGAAACCCCAGTGGATAAAATACGTCAACTATTTATATGGGAAAAACCTCGTGGATTATTCAGTCCAAAGTAAATAGATTCACTATATTTGAAACAAAGTACACCGATCTTTGACTATGGCTCACACCCTATCGTTCTACCAAACACCAATTGCTGACAATCTTTTAGCTTTGCGACTCCCCGTCCAATAGCAACTTGACCTCAGACTTATGCTTAATATTTTTAGAAGAGTAGTAGGTAGATCAGACAACACTTCTCGAATGCTCCAACCCTTTCAAAGTGTGATCGCTTTTACTTCTATTCTTCAAGATCTGAATTCGATGTAGAAGAATTAAATCTTGCTTTTCATCCGGAATATCTGAATCTTCAATATACCTCCAATTCCGAATGAGATAGAGAACAATACCACTAAATCACTCATGAATATATCTGTATGCTCACATAAATAAATTCTGAATAATCAGATTTGATTTTCTGAATTTTCTCTCTCTAAAAGCTTTCTCAAAATATAAAATTGATTTTCCCTAAAGTCGTAAATAAACCTAGAAGACTAACAAGGTTTATATAAAGTTTATAAAGTCCTAATCTCTCAAAAAATAGGAAAAATTTCATGCATAGGACTTAGAAAGAAGTTGGGATAAAAAAGGAAACATTCAGCGAAAAGGAAACTAAAATCCAAGTGCTGCCAAGAGACCTTGAACCGGTTCAGAAGGGCTGAACCGGTTCAAGAAGGTCAGAGAGTTTTTGCCGTGGCCAACTTTGGTTCTTAAACCGATTCAGCCCCCTTGAACCAGTTCAAGATGGACAGTTTGGAATTTTTTGCTTTTCTACTAAAGTTGAACCAATTCAGGGGGTTTGAACCAGTTCAAGATGGCCAGAATGTATAAACTCCTTCCGAAACTTCCAAAACCCTTCCTAAATGTTCTCACTACCTCTCAAAACTTCTTAGAGCATTGTTCTCATCATCTCGGAGTGTAGTATATCATGAACACTTGAACTTCTTCAAATCAGCATCCGATCTTCAATTTCTGAAATTTGAACCGAAAAATTACAACTCGATCGGACTTTTTTTGACAATGAAATTAGACAATTACAAAATATATATCTCACAATCTCCACCTTTGGCAATTTCGTGACAAAACCCTAAAACAATTCAGCAATCTACCCAAGCAGGAAAGTAAATTACAATGAGTGTTAAAGGAAATAAACCGTGGATTTTTTTCTTAAACCTCATAAAGCTTCAACACATGTAGCAACATGTAATTTGCACATTAGCTTAAACACAACTACCCGTGAAGCTTAATCAAGAAAATAAACACAAGCATAAAATTTTTAATGCCTGAATATCAACGCAATGTAAACACATGCAATGATCAATGGTTCTCCCCCTTAATGCAAAAGTATCTCTCCCCCTAAATGATAAAACTCTAAACTCTCTCCCACTTTTTGTCACAAATGAACAAGGGTCTAAAGGAAGAAATATCCTAGAAGTAGGAAGCAACCAACCATATAAATCTTGTAAACTAAAACCAATGAGAATATAGACTTTGTAAGATTATATGTATTAACAGAAATAACCAAGATCAATTCAATGAAGTTCCACAAACTTAGCAAGTGTAGTAAAATCACCACCAAGTTCCAAAAACATATGATCTGTTAATTGTTCAGATTTCAGATAATAAATCAATGATATCACATATCTTTAGAATTCAAACAATCAACATGTGCAACAGACAAATTTTTTTTTTCTCTCTTTGTGCTCAATTTTATTTTATTTTATTTATTCATTTTTTTGCACATTGGCGGCTTTCATGCTTATGGGTAGCCAGCTCTTTCCCTTATTCCCATTTGTTTCGAGTCAAGGTAACTTTCGGACAAATCGCAAATCTAGCCTTTTCCATCTCACCTTTTTCAAAACAACAAATATTTTTCTTTCTTTTTCAAAACTTTTTTCATTCTAAGCTGTTTTTTAATTTTTTAATTATTATTTTTTTTACTCTTTTGGTCTAAAACACAAAAATCAAGTTTAAATTCTGAGACAATGATCAATCATATCAACATTATCTTTGACTAAAACAATGATATCTCAAGTAAATGTACTATCAATGATTCATTTACAATACGAAATAACTAAGCAAAGCCAATTTCATCAATTCATAGCCATTGTATGCTTTCCACAGATAATCCATGTGTCATTAAACTCCTTGTGTTCAATATACTCAATCAATATGATTTGCTTAACTTCCCAAAAACATAATCTAGATTCTCAAGATATGTATGAAAATCCTTTCTAAACTATGTCTTTACAATGCATCTAATCAAGACAACATACACCAATAGATTTCCTAAAATGAGAAAACTTAGGAGCATCTAATGGTTTAGTGAGAATATCAGTCAATTTCTAATCAGTATGCACTTTTTCCAAAGACAGGACATTTTGTTCAACAAGTTCCCTAAAAAAGTGATGTCGAATGTCAATGTGCTTAGTCTTAGAATGCAAAACTGGATTCTTTGAAATATTAATTGTATTAGTATTATCACAAAAGATAGCAATAGTACCTTGATCAACTCCATAATCTAGAAGCATCTGTTTCATCCAAAGCAATTATGTGCAACAATTTCCAACAACAATGTATTCAGCCTCACAAGATAATAAAGATATGCAATTTTGTTTCTTGCTATACCATGAAACAAGATTAGTACCAACATAGAAACAACCATCTGAAGTACTCTTTCTATCATCCTTGTTACCAGCCCAATCAACATCAGTATAACCTGCAATCTCAGAGTTAGACTCAGAAGAATAACGTAATCCATAATTCAATATACTATTGACATAACGAATAATGTGCTTAATTGACTGCAAGAATATGTTGTTCTCTAGGATTAGCTTGATACCTAGCACAAACACCTATACTAAATAAAATATCTGGCCTAGTTGCTGCCAAATACAACAAGCTACCAATCATACTCCTATACAAGAAATGATCAACCTTGTTAGGATCAAAGCCTCTATCCAATTTGGATGAAGTACTCATAGGAGTTTGAACATGCTTTGAATCTTTTATACCAAACTTCTTAACTAGCTCTATTGCATATTTTGATTGAGATATAAAAATCCCATCATGAAGTTGTTTCACTTGGAGATCTAAAATGAAAATCAGTCCACCAACCATGTTCATTTCAAAAGTATTATTCATATCTTTAGAAAAATTATGAACAAGGTTATCACATGTAGCACCAAAAATAATACCATCCACAAATATTTGAGCAACAAAAAAATCTTTTCCTTTCTTGAAAATAAACAATGTTTTATCTGCTTTTCCTCTTCTAAAGCCCTTGTGCATTAGATAAGAAGTTAACTTCTCATACCATGCTTTAAGTGCTTACTTTAAACCATAAAGAGCCTTTTTAAGATGAAAAATAAAATCAGGATTATGTGGATTAATAAAACCTTTTGATTGTGCTACATAAACTTCTTCCTGTAAAATACCATTTAGAAAAATACTTTTAACATCCATTTGAAATAATTTGAATTTAAAGTGACATGCAAGAGCAAAAAGAAGTCGAATAGACTCAAGTCTATCAACAGGTGCAAAAGTCTCATCAAAATCAGTTCCTTCAACTTGAGTGTATCATTGTGCAAGTAATCTAACTTTATTTCTCATTACAAGACTATGTTCATCAAGTTTATTTTTAAAGATCCATTTAGTCCCTATGATATTAACATCACTAGGTCGAGGCATTAATTCCCCAAACATCATTCTTTACAAATTGAAGCAATTCTTCTTGCATAGCCATAAGCCAATCAGAATTTTGAAGAGCTTCATCAACATTCTTAGGTTCAAATTGAACCATGTGACATGAATGTCCCATGTTATCTATAATGCATGAATGTCCCATATGATCACGGACTGTACTCCTAGTACCATGCTGATCCCATAGACCTATCATGTTGTTAACTGGATGACTTAATCGAACTCTAGAATTGCTAGATGTGGGAATATCTAAAGATGGTGAAAGAATTCCTATAGGTTCATCAGGGGTGACCTCTAATTCCTCATCCTCATTTTCTTCAACCTCTTTACCTTCTCCACCTAAATTCTCAACTCTTTCTTCCTCATGAATTGTAAGTTTTTTCCTTTTTCCTGTAATTTCAAAATTAGTTTCTTCTTCAACAAGTTGAGAAGAGGTTATCTTAGATTTTGTATCATCAAAAATCACATTTATAGACTCCATAACCACTTTGGTTCTAAGATTAAAAACCTTATAAGA